CGCCGGGGGAAAAAGATGCATTCACATGATGTATCGGCCTGTATAGGTTGTGACGTTACAACTTCACGCACATATATAAATTTATTCGCGAGCACACAAAAGCTGCATACATTTATTTATTTATTGTGCCAGTTTGGAGGAGGATGCTGGGGAGCGGATCATCGAATGCCGCAGATTCCTCCGCCTTTCCCTTGTGCTCGCATTCTCGGGCGGAACGGCCCCGTCTCTCTCCTTTTCTTATACAAAGAAAGCCGATGTGTGTTATTTGCATACGGAGGACGTCTGCGCTGATATGTGTTCGGTTCTTGATTTTCAATTTCGCTTCAAAGACCTGCAGCTCGTCTAGTTTGTTGCAAGTAACGGTGCAGAGCACGCAAAAGCAATCTAATCTCGTCGCGATGCACTGCGAAATTAATTTTGCACAAGGGTGCTAATTGCTTTTCGCCATCAGAAGCGCGTAATTATTTTCTCGCTCCGAGTGCTCACTCGAAAGGAGAAACGATTTTCCACGATCGCCCTGGATATTCGCAAAGCTTGGATTTGTTTCACTAAACAGGATCATAAATTCACCCTTCTAAATGCAATCGGTTGTAATTGCAAACGGTTTGAGAGTGAAATTATATATTGCCTCTCTAAAAGTAAGTCATGTGTGAATTTTACAGCAAAAAATGGAATAAAAATCATCGCCATAATATTGTTGTTTATTTGATAAATTATTATAGCCATTATGCAATGGAAAGAAAATATTTATTGTACGTTGGAAGGGAAATATTTAATTTTTAGATCAAAAGGCATCACTTCTATTATATGAGTTTCCTAAAAGATAGAAGAAGCACATCCGCCAGCTTGACTAAATAATTAAAAAAAAATTCACAATGTTAATAAAGATTTTACATTTTTTTTTAATCTGTGACTTATTTAACTGAATTTTTTTTTCATTATTAAATTTTCTAATTAATCCATATGCTTGATTTTCACTCTATTTCCGTTAAAATTAATCAAAATCAACTCGAAATAATATGTTTCTGGAATGAAATTACTTTTTTTCCCGCATCAGAAAATGTAGGTGTTCAGAATACAAATATTACAGATTGGAGATTATCCAGCTTTTCCATGCGAACATTCAGTTTTTGTTAAAAAACTGGTACATTCGGTTTGATTCGAAATGTTGACTGTTAACTTTGGTTGGGCGTAAATCCACACACGATTTGCAAACAGTCAAATTAAAAAACGGCACGTCCGCCTACGAGAACTAATCAGAATTTCCTTGGAAATATTCCATGAGGCATTTTCGTTTAAAAGCAAGATATCGTATGTATAATTAATTATGGAATGCAAACACGTTTCTCAGACGAAGTGCGCCTGGAATTTCTGATGTGATTTTCTCCATTGGGGCGCACTTTTGCAACTTCTGTTTCTCATCGTCTCGCGTTTCATTCAAGCTCTTCAGGTGCGCGCCTTAATTAAGCTTCTGCAGAAACAATAAACGTGGGTTGCTGCAAATTAAAGGGCTCATCATTCATCCAAGTTCAACTCGAAAGTTGCAGATTCGCAAATGAAAAGTCAAAAAGTTTGCCTTGTGAGAGAATATAAGTTGCTATAGCCAACTCTTGAGCAAATGACAAATCAGAAGAAACTGCAAAGTCGAGTTAAGATTTCAAGTTTTCAAAATATTCTGTCCAGGAAAATGTATTTTGTTGTTAAATTTATTAAATTTTAAATATTAGATAATCATAGACATAGCTAAACCAATAAACATAGTAAATGGAAAAGTGAAGGTTGGAATAAAAATTACAATTATGCCAGAAAACTAAAATAATTAAACTTAATTGTGATCTTGTTCGGTTATTTATAATAATGGCGGATTGCGAATTGCCATGAAATCATCGGAATATAGTGCAAGTTACACAGCAATATGAGTGACGTAGAAAAGAAGTGTGAAATTGGATAATTATGTTTTTAATGTGAATGAAGTATTTATTAAACACCGTAGGTGTTCAACATTAAGATTTACAATAATGATACATTTTCTTCTTCTAAGCTCTTTCGAGAAGTTGCGGCTTCTCGCAAGCTCATTTTCTTCATCGAACAAATTTTTATATATGATATATTGTGTACATTGATCTCCGCAAAATTTACAAGCACAGTCAGTTTTCGCATCAATTATGTTTTTAATGTAATTTCGTAAATTTTGGCAGTACTTACTTTTTAAACTAAAAACCATAATATAATATGAGAAACAAGAAGTATAGTTTTAATTGGAAAAAGGAAATGATTTAAAATGTGAAAAAAAAGTATTATTCTAATATCAACAAGCTGAAATGATTGTAATTATTCTTGGACTGTATTTCAATAAAATGCAATAGAATTGCCAAAAAAAAAAGATTATTTTGTTGGTTGAGCAAGTCAATTGTGCCGTAATGGGTTTTCCTTGTGCACGGTCACGCAAACCCGTTTCTTCCGGGTAAACAATGCAAATATGCAATAATAAATAAAGGTCCCGAGAGAGAGACACGGAGTCACTTCAGATGAATATTAAGGCCAGTGGGGGTGGCTGCGCGCTGGGAAAACCATTCTTCCTTTTGTCTCTGCATTGCTCGCGTACGTGGATGAACTGGAAATACTCGAGTCGCTTTGTAATCTCCGCTGCGGTCTTCGTGGGTTTTTATTTTGTGCGAAAACGACCCGCGACAATTGCAAAAACGACCGCCTTTGCGTGCAAGCAGTGCGGCCTTTTTTGTGTTTCGCAGCAAGAGAGAATAATAAATAAATGCAAATGCTCTGCTTTTTAACTCCGTTCGCTCCGCAAAGACTAAAAAGTAGAGGGCAAAGTTTTCCTTTAAAATTTCCTCGAATAGAAAACATATTATTTGCAATTCATTCCACGTTTAATAACATTAAATTTGAAAAATCTTAATACTTTAATATAATTTTTTTACAATAGATTTTTCACAATTGGTTGTCTGACTTGTTCGGAGAAGTAAAATGAATTGAAATGTTGCCTTAGATGGAGAATAAATTTATAAAGATGAAATAAAATATCATCGCAATTTATATTTAAAATAATATATTTCCTGAATATTTCTTTAGCTTTTTCGTCAACATTTTGCCAACTTTGTTTTGTTTTATTGGACGGTGGATGAATCAATTCAATTATAAATGTTTCCCAAAATCGATTTTCTAGCCTGGAAATTTGCTTGGAATTGAGAGATTTAACATTAATTTTCAGCAGATGAAATGTCGCTATCCTTTATTTAAATACATTTTTAACTATAGAAACTTTCAAACAAATGAGGCGATATTAAATTTTTATGAGAATTTCAAGATTGTGGTTTTTATGCTAGTGCTTTTTTTATTTTAATTTTTCTCCAATAATGGATATTGTCCTCTTCGATGTAGGAAAAATCCAGGAAAAGTCTGGATATTGCTTTTACCGGCTTTAACTATCAAAGAACTTCCAGAGCTGGCAATTAACTTTTTATTAAATCATTATTATATTTTTTCCTAGACTCAATTATTTCCTGCTTTTAATGTATTTTTAATTACATCAAAGCGTTTTAAGAAGAAATGCTCATTAAAATACAATTGTGCAAGTTATTGAAATTTTTTTTTTAAATGAAGTATATTTATTTGAAATTAAAGTTAGATTTTTTTTATTAAATTCACCAGCAGAAATTTTTAAACATTGCAATATGAATCTCATCAGATTCTCGTTTCACTCGCTGTCAAAATTATTTTCAAAATTCCATGTGTCAGTTTGTTTTGCGCTGCGTGTAGTTACAGGGGTGAATTCGACCGCATGGCTGAGCACACGAGAGTGAATTGCAATCGCCGCGGATCGTCATTTACACGGACGTCATACAGAATATCGCACGGACACATGGGCGCGGAACAATATCAATTTGCCTCGGTGGCCGCCCCAATTGTGTTTTCGCAATGTCGGTGCGAGAGACGCCGACGGTATCTGTGACACAAACGCGCACACACCCCTCATCACGGAAATTGGTGTGTGCCGTTGCCAATAATTGACTGGGAGCAGCATTTAATTAATTTCCCATTTGACTGCCTATTGATTGACGGCGAATTCAATTACCATTATTCAAACGTACGCCAGCATTCAAAAAGGAAAAAAAAATACACTATCTCAAAGTTTTGTTTAATACAAAAGCAGCGATGTTAATCAATTAGCGTAAAACTCCAGAAACTTTCCTTTTTTTTTCAACCAGAGAGCCTCGCAAAAGCCCGTTTGAATAATTGCGATTCCGCTCGGAGGAAAATCAGGTTTTTCATCTACATTAAAATCCAATTATGAGATTGTTAAAAAAGTCTTCACTTTTTTTTAAAAATATTCTGGCCATTTGTTTTTAGATTGTTTAAAGTTCTGAACAATTTTCAGATCTATCTTCCTTTTCAGAATTTTGATTTTTTTTCCAATCGTTTCTGATTGGTAAATGGGTAATTAATTATTCATAACTCGTGGAAGTTGATTTTTTCCAAGGAGAAATTTATTTAATTAATTAACATGCCTGCTTTTTAGTTTGAAATCAAATTAATTGCTACATAATTAGAAAAAAATGCATCACTAAACAAAAAGCGAAAATAATTTATCGAGACATTTGATAAAAATGATTTTGACCACGTCTTTTTCAAATAAAATTTGACACTTATTAATAATTGTCACTTTTATGGGGTGAAATTACATTTTTCCCCAGTCTGATGGACCCAGATTTATCAATCACAATTATTTAGTTTATTGAAAATACCTCATCAGAGTACAATTCTTCAATATTTAAATTAATACAAGCGAAATTTGATAACAATTAAAATTTTAATTAATTTAAAAATTAAGATTATTTTTAATTAATATTTTTAACAATTTATAAATTTAAATAACATATTATAAGGTCATGTTTTGTCTTTTCCCATACGGGCGTAGTCGTTGATGGAAAGCACAATTACTTTGATTTTGCAAAGATGAAGTAAAAATTCTCTGTACTCACGATTGGTGTAGCAAAGTGACCAGAGTCCGCTGACGGTGTATTTGGAGAGGTAGTTCCTCTCGCCGGTGCCGTTGTAGTTGGAATTGGGCATTTTCTCTTCTGTGTTCAACCACTGATTCGTGGTCATCGCGATGGCAACCAGTATCATCGCGATGGTGGCCGTTAAAGGGGTGAGGAACCACAGAATGTTCACCGCCGTGTCCAAATACGACTCGGCTTTCAGCGGCACACAACAACACTGAAATTTGCGTCAAGTCATTTCATTTCAATGCTATTTATTTACCCATCATGACAATATAAATCAGTATAAATAAATAAAAAATCTATCATTTTTAAGAGCAGGATCTTGAAATTATAAAGCAAAACAGAAAATAAGAGCAGATTTCTTTTTTAAATCAATGACATTAATATGAATTACTTCTTAAATTGGATTTAACATATTGCGTTAATTTATTTGTCATCAATCCATCTATTTCTGGTGCACTTTGAGGGGTTGAACTTTAAAATGCAGTATGTGATTTCATTTAATTCCAATTTTTTTCAATTGTGCAACAAATTAATTTTACTGCTTTTTTCATTCATTTCAATGCAGTATATTTATCTAATAAGACGCTTATGATACCTTATTATTATTCTGTAAAATTCTATAGTCAAGCTTTTGGAATTGAACAAATTATAAATTTTTGCAATTAAGAAAGCCCATTATAAGTACAGCAATTGACAAAAAATATTAAATCAACGCATATTATGCATAATATTAAAAGTATTAAAAATATTAATTTAAAAAAATTATTAATTTGTCAATAAAATTAAAGAAAATTTAATGCTTGACTTAATAATTCCTTTTTATTAAGATAAAGTTAATTTTTTTTTTACAAACCTGGTGGCAGCATGATGCGATATCCTGCTCCTCTAGGTCGTGATTGACAAGCTCAAATGGCACAGGTTTGAAGTGGTTGTTCCGGAGACAAGCGGGCCGTCGTTGAAAGTGGTTCACGTGGTTGAGTCGCGGCGGCGGCGGCACCGCGGTCAGGGTCGCGTCGATGGTTGCTGGAGGGCGGAGGTGGTGTTGGCGAAGAGGTCTCGACATGACCTAGCAGAACCCTACTTGCATCAGCACTCACCATCAGGAAGGTCATCGAGCGGGCAGGGGGTGCGACCTCGGGGCTGCTGGCCATGCTCTTCGCATCGCTCTGTCCGGTGAGGAGGCAGGTCGAGGGCTGCCAAGTCAACCCTTTCACTTGCGCCTGCAACAATCCAAATATCAAATTATAATTCATTTGTGTAAGTTGATTTTTTCAAGGGGAAATTTATTTAATTAATTAAAATGCCTGCTTTTTAATTTGAAATCAAATTAATTGCTACATAATTAGAAAAAAATGCATCACTAAGCAAGAAGAGTAAATAATTTATCGAGACATTTTGAAAAAACTTATTTTGACCACGTCTTTTTCAAATAAAATTTGACACTAACTAATAATTGTCACTTTTATGGGGTTAAATGACATTTTTCCCCAGTCTGATGGACCCAGATCTATTCAATCACAATTTCTTTGATTTTGCAAAGATGAAGTAAAAATTCAAGTAATTTAAAATGATTTAAAATTTGCAAACCAAAAAAGAAATTAATTAACTTATTCAAATTGCAAAAAACCAAATAAGTAATGTTTTTTTTCTTGGAAAGACTAAAATGAAAAATGTTACAAAATGCACGAGTTGAGATAGAAAAGGATAAGTGTAACACAAAAAAAAATTTCAAGCAGAAAAAAATTATCAAGTGGATCAAAACAGATTATGTCTGTAGAAAGCCCAATATAACAGATTAAATTTGCCAAAAGAGATGAATTTTTGAGGAAATAATGATGAAAATTTGCTATTTAAATGTACTTTCATTAAAAGAGCCAATTTATTTAAAAAAAAGATCCATTTTATAGCTCGTTTCCAAAAAGGGTTTTGTTCACTTCTAAATTTTCTTGGATTTGATAATGTCAAATGCTTAGTTTCCAAAAGTTTTCATAATATTTCCCGCATCTTTTAATATTATGAATTTACTGCTAAGTGTTGCTCGCTTCCATTGAAGTAAAATCAAAGTCCTTTTAAATATTTGTTCTTTACATATTTAGTTAATTTTTAGACCATATTTGTCACCTTAATAAGTTTCAATTGATTTAAATTAAAATAAATTTTTAATTTTTGAGTATCAGTTATGCAGCTAAAATATCAGTTTGATAATCAAAGTCAGGTACATTTTAATTTGGCCCCATTTAATTTGAATATTTTTTTTGCAATTTAGTTGGCACAATAAATTTATGTATTTCTTATTCCGAGATGAATAGATAATTTAAGATAATCCAGAGCGTTAAATTTATAACATAATTATATTGATTTCAGTGGATTTCAGAATTAACCACTTGTTTGCAATTTGTGCAAAGTCTGTCGACTGATTATTTTGCGAGCAGTTGCCACATTTCTGCTTTTCCCTGCGGCATTCGCGGCACTTTTGGTGATATTATGAAAGGACCGACAAATTAAACACGATAAGCACGGACGCAGAAAGCGCGATGTATAATCCTTTTTGGCTTCTCCCCATTTATTTATTCACACGGGACCGGCGAGGAAGGAAAAGTCGGTCGGCGCCGAAACCTCTCGCGGGACGAAAGCGAGAAGAAAAGATATCCGTCTAATTTCGCGAGCCGGCTGATTGATTGCAGCCGACAAGTCGCTCGACAAGCTTTTAAAAGCTGTAAATTAAATCAGAGAGGAGCAGAGTCTTTTTATGACGAGCGAGCGAGCGACGACAGGCAGATAGATAACGCCGGAGCAGCGCAGCCTCCAGGGGCGAAAATGGTGCCGCCGCACCACACACTGCACGGCCAGAGTGAAACATTGTCTCCGTCGGTTTTATCACTCGGGATGTACACATTAAAGAAACGTACTAGAGAGGCTTTTATCATCAAAAGGCAAAAGAGCAGTAATGAGATTTTTCGCTCTCTCAAAAGCCATCGTAAAAATCGTCTAATGTCATTCCAAGAACCTCCTCCATAAGGCCGAACATTCTTCAAGGGGATGTTCTTGATTTTTAGAGTGACACGCGACAGATTCGATTTAATCAGTGCTTTGTGGTAGGAAACGGATGATTTTTGCATTGTCAGGGAACGTTGAAGAACTTGACAAATTCGACATGATTTTGTGGCAATTTTGAGCTTGGCTTAATGCATTTTCAAGGTTTTGAGGAAATTTTACAGTTATTCAAATGACGTATAAATCTTTGCAACAATCAATTTGTGCACATTATTTACAATAAAAATATACGACGAAAATAAATATTAACGATACAGATTAACAAGAAGAAGGTGTAATTTACACTTTAAAATTTGGTTTTGTTGCTTAATACTTAATTGTAGGAGGTCTCTATTTTATATATAAATCAGGTAATCATAAAACTTCTGGATTTATATGAAAACTAAAAATATTAAATTGAAAAATGCAATTATGTAATTATTTAATATCAAATAACTTATGCATTTAAACATTTAAATTAAAAACTAATTTAAATAAAAAACAGTAAATTATTCAAGAAACCTGCCTAAAAACTGTTCGCAGTTAATTATTCACTTTATTTAAAAGATTATAAATTTAATAAAAATTGCGAATTCATTTATTACATACTACGTTTTTAATGCTTAAAAAGACTTTATAATTAACAGTTTCAAGAAAAAGTTTTTAATTATGAGTTTTAGAAAAAAAATATTTCACGATATCAAAATTTGTGTTAAAATATTAATGTGTATTTATTCAATTCTAATATTTAGGCTGGGCGCAAATATTTTTGGAAGCTTTTATGTGTTCGTGTTTGCAAAATTTGAAATTTCGGATATTTAAATTATGTTTCAAAGGATACATTAATTTGTAAACATCACATAGAAAACCGCACGAGTTTGCGGGCATAAATAATTAAATTATTCATAAACGGTGAGTCTAAAGCATATATTATCAAAACAGTTTGTAACTTTTGCCACGATTGAGTGGCTTCAATTAATAATTTACCAAAACATCTCAACTCTTCAAATATGCTTAAAATACGTTTGAAGCTAAAATATTCTGCTTGAATTAAATAGATAATCATGCAAACACGGTAGATTTAAGCACAGGTTCAATTTGCTCGAAGATCTGCTCCAACTTGGTATTCCGGATGAGCGATCAAAGCGCCACTGATACTAATTGAAATAGCTACAGATAAGAGATCGCTCCGAGGTGATTGTTGCATTAATTACATGGCAACAATTAATAATATCTCCTCAAAGCCATTTCCCAGAAGAACATACCAGAGAGAGACGCTTACAAATAATTAATAAGTTGGATTCATCAGAGGCGCGCGCCAACACAACCGAGAGCCGGATTTGCAGAGGCTGAAAAGGGACTGAAGGGCAAGGCAAGGGGTTGCGACCAAAGATAGCTGATGGCAGAAACACGGGTGTAAAACGCACCCTTGGGAGCCACACCTCGGGCTACCTTGCGTCTGATGCAAAACTTTTGATAAGGGTTTGCACCAAACTTGTGTGGCAGAGGGTTAAATAAGATTCACTGAAAGATTTTTTTATCTCAAAGCAAAGTTCACTCTCTCATTACTAAAGGTGAATTTTCACCATCCAAAGTCAATTTTTTTTTTTTTTTTTTTGTGAAAATGTAACTGATTAATTAGACAAAGCAGCTCAATGATGGGATTTCTCTCAATTTGGTTAATTATAAAACTGTACAACCTGTTTTTTTTAGCATTAATTTTAAATTATCAAATCGACAAAGCGAAAATAAGCCAAGAAACTCAATATCTTATTTTTATTTATTTTCTTTAAAAAAAAAACCACAGGACGGGATTAAACACCGAAAACAATTTTGTTAGCAGAGTTGTATTGTAGGATGAAAATAAGTAAATGTTTTGAACTCTGTAGTTAGTTCAGTGCCCAGGGAAATAAAATAGCTCGTGTATCTCTTCATGATTTGATCTCCAGTAAAATAAGTATTAAAAATGATTTATTGAATAGAGTTTATAAAAAAAGTTATTTTATTTGTAAAAAGCGGCAGGTAGGAAAGAATGGAGTATATTTTTCTATGCAAATTTTGAACAAAGAGAGGTGATCAAACGGAAATTTACTCTGCTTTTAAAACAGCCGCCGGCGATGACGTGTTGAAAAATTATGGGACTAATCATCGCAGTATGGATAATGATGGCCCTCAATCGGAATATAATCGTTCATTGTTCGCACTTGATACGCTCTGACGGACAAATTTCGACCGGCCAGCAGCAGCAGCAGTAGCGTTTTGCATTTCAAAAACGTCCGAGTGGCAAAAAAAGGACCGAATCCAAACAACACGCAGCCGGAATAACGTATCGGCAGCTTTTTTGATGGTGCTGCTGAATTAATACGCCCTGGGCACGAATATTTGATATGCCAGTGAGTGCTGATTAGCAGAATCCATCACTTGCTCGCAATTTCAAATTCTGTTCGGCCGTGATACAATTGCTATTGGAATAAAAAAGTAAAAAAAAAAAACGGATCATAGAGATGTTTGAAAGGATTGTGAAACTTGGACAATGGACAATTTTTTTTTATATTTATAGTTTATTTTTTTAATCGAACTAAATCGTAAAATTTAAAAATGATTGAAATTAACAGCGTTTTTCTGTGAAAAAAATATATCTAAAATCCACTTAATCTTGGTAAAAACCACTATAAAATGGATTTTTGTTGAAAAATTCCAAAATCTGGCTAAAAATAGAGGACAGACCATTCTGATCATTTCGAGCCAATTTCTGCGACCGGTGATTTTCACCGCCTCACCCCTGATCAGGTAAAATAATAAACGTGATTTTTTATTTAAATTTGAAGGAGGAAGATGGAATTGTGGTAAACTACTTAAGTTTTAATAAAAATTTTCATTCAGTTTTAAAAATAATACAGTAAATTATGTATCTGAATATTCTCTTTAAAAAAAAGAGTATAATAAACTTGAAAGTGGAATTGTTTTTATAAATAGTCACTTTTGCAACAACAAAGGCGTTCTATTTAGTAATAATGGAATAGAAATTGCATTGTTTCCGAAACGCTTTTCCCACAGCGGCTCACGAATTCAGCAGAAAAGGAGGAGCTGCATCGATTTCTTTTTACAGATCTCTGCTTCTTCATCCCACATGATGAAAGCTGGCCTCTGCCCAAATCGCATCGCTTGCCAAACAAATAGATTCATG